AGCAGCAACAAATCCACAAAACTGAAAGTTGACCTCTGGCCTACAAATGAGCACACACACAAATACCCACTTACACACACTCTAAATAAATAAAAATGGGCGATTCTGGGAGATGACTTCATAAGAACCTTATCTGAATGAATCCCAGCACCCACATACAGAGCTGGGTATGAGCCTGGTGGGCTGACATGCCTCTTCAGAGGCATGAAGATCTCTGTGAGGCTGGCCTACATAGTGAGTTGCAGGCTAGTCAGGGCTCCACAGTGAGACCTTGTCTCAAAAAACAACAAACAAGCCAGTGAAAATCAAGAAAATACTGGGCATGGCTCTGGTGGCCAGTAACCTAGGATACTGGAGAGGAACAAACAGGCAGACCCTGAGAGCTGCCAGCCCGTCCAATATGGCAGCTTCCAGGTCAGTGAGACCCTGTCTCAAGCCAGTAAAGGAGATGGCAATAGAGAAATAGACCTGATGTCCTGTTCAGGGCTCTGCATGCACGCACACACACAGGTACATGCATGCACACACACACACACAAGCTTAAAAATGGGGTCGGGGGTGAAGCACAGGCTAGACAGCTTGCCGGAAGTGTGAAATCCTAGTGCCAAATAGAAAATAACAAAGAGAAAATGCTGAGCTGGGCAATGGTGGCGCACGCCTTTAATCCCAGCACTTGGGAGGCAGAGGCAGGTGAATCTCTGTAAGTTTGAGGCCAGCCTGGTTTACAGAGCAAGTTCTAGGACAGCCAGGGCTACACAGAGAAACCCTGTCACAAAAATAAGAAAAAAAGAAATGCTGGTGTTTGTACTTCTGTGTGTGTGTGGTTGGGGGGTGGAGGCTGTATGAGTTTTCCTTACACCACATCCATGCAGGTTCCCTGGGAGGGCAGAGTGTATAAGATCCTTTGCAACTGAATTCATGTGGCTGTAAGCTGGGAGCAACTGAGCCATATTTCCAGACCCTTGTTATTTTGTAAATGTATACGTGCATATGTACCTAAGTATATATACATCTTAGTTGGTTTTTTTTGTTGTTGTTGTTATTGTTGTTGTTTGGTTTTTCAAGACAGGGTTTCTCTGTGTTATAGCCCTGATTGTCCTGGAACTTGATTTGTAGACTACATAGATAAGCCCTGTCTCAAAACACCAAAAATAAATAAATAAATAATATGCTTATAATAAACCACCTGGGGTCAGACTCCAGAAGCCGAACCAGTATAGACTAAAGTTGGGCTGAACTGAGTTTCATTCTTACTTACCCAGATGGTTTTCCTGCCAGTAGTGACTCTTGCAGGGATCTCCACAGTTCTTGTAGACCAGGCTGGCCTCGAACTCACAGAGATCCGCCTGCCTCTGCCTCCCAGTGCTGGGATTAAAGGTGTGCGCCACCATTGTCCCCCTTAATCTATGTTCTTTTTTTTAATTGATATTTATTGAGTTCTACATTTTTCTCCGCTCCCTTCCCTGCCTCTCCCTTTCCCCCTTCAATCCTCCCCCAAGGTCCCCATGCTCCCAATTTACTCAGGAGATCTTGTCTTTTTCTACTTTCTACTTCCCATGTAGATTAGATCTATGTATGTCTCTCTTAATGTCCGCATTGTTATATAAGTTCTCTGTAATTGTGGTTTGTAGGCTGGATTTCTTTGCTTTATGTTTTTTTTAAAGATTTATTTATTTATTAAGCATAAAATGTATTGCTGGCAAGGAAGGCACCAGGTCTCATTGCAGATGGTTGTGAGCCACCATGTGGTTGCTGGGAATTAAACTCGGGACCTCTGGAAGAGCAGCCAGTGCTCTTACCCTCTGAGCCATCTCTCCAGCCCCTCTTTGCTTTATGTTTAAAAACCACCTATGAGTGAGTACAGGTGATAATTGTCTTTCTGTGTCTGGGTTACCTCACTCAAAATAACGTTTTCTAGTTCCATCCATTTTCCTGCAAAATTCAAGCTGTTATTTTTTTTCTGCTGTGTAGTACTCCATTGTGTAAATGTACCACATTTTCCTCCTCCATTCTTCGGTCGAGAGGCATTTAGGTTGTTTCCAGGTTCTGGCTATGACAAACAAAGCTGCTATGAACATAGTTGAGCACATGTCCTTGTGGCATGATTGAGCATCCTTTGGATATATACCCAAAAATGGCATTACTGGGTCTTGAGGAAGGTTGTTTCCTCATTTTCTGAAAAATTGCCACACTGACATCCAAAGGGGTTGTACCATCTTGCACTCCCACCAGCAATGCAGAAGTGTTCCCTTTTCCCCACATCCTCTCCAGCATAAGTTGTCATCAGTGTTTTTGATCTTGGTCATTCTTACAGGTGTAAGAATCTCAGAGTTGTTTTGATTTGCATTTCTCTGATGACTAAGGATGTTGAACATTTCCTTAAGTGTCTTTCAGCCATTTTAGATTTCTCTGTTGAGAGTTCTCTGTTTAGGTCTGTACTCCATTTTTTTATTGGATTATGTGATCTTTTGCTGTCCAATTTCTTGAGTTCTTTGTATATTTTGGAGATCAGACTTCTGTCTGATGTGGAGTTAGTGAAGTTCTTTTCCCATTCTGTAGGCTGTCGTTTTGTCTTGTTGACTGTGTCCTTTGCTTTACAGAAGCTTTTCAGTTTCAGGAGGTCCCATTTATTAATAGTTTCTATCAGTGTCTGTGCTGCTGGGGTTATATTTAGGAAGTGGTTCCCTGTGCCAATGCATTCAAGTGTACTTCCCACTTTCTCTTCTATAAGGTTCAGTGTGCCTGGCTTTATGTTGAGGTCTTTGATCCATTTGGACTTGAGTTTTGTGCATGGTGATAGATATGGGTCTATTTTCATTCTTCTACATGTTGATATCCAGTTATGCCAGCACCACTTGTTAAATATGCTTTCTTTTTTCCATTTGATACATTTTGCTTCTTTATCAAAGATCAGGTATTCAAAGATGTGTGGATTAATATCCAGGTCTTCTTTTTTTTAAAAAAATATTTATTTATTTGTCATGTATACAATATTCTGCAAGCCAGAAGAGGGCACCAGACCTCATTACAGATGGTTGTGAGCCACCATGTGGTTGCCGGGAATTGAACTCAGGACTTTTGGAAGAGCAGGCAATGCTCTTAACCACTGAGCTATCTCTCCATCCCGATATCTGGGTCTTCTATTTGGTTCCATTGGTCCTCCTGTCTGTTCTTATGCCAATACCAGGCTGCTTTCTGTAATAGAGTTTGAAGTCAGGGATTGTGATGCCTCCAGAAGTTACTGCACAGGATTGTTTTGGCTATCCTGGGTTTTTTGCTTTTCCAAATGAAGTTAAGTACCGTTCTTTTGAGGTCTTTGAAGAATTTTGCTGGGATTTTGTTGGGAAAATCTATGTTCTTATACATGGCTCTGTCACCTTCACTTTGTCATGCCCATGCTGCTTGCTCTGTGTCACCTGGCATCTCTTCCTATCTTCTCCCTTCTTCTTCCTAGCATCCTCTGTGCCTTGAAATCCTGTCTAGCTATTGGCCATTCAGTTTTTTATTAAACTGATCACAGTGACATATCTTTACACAGTATAATCAAATATCTTGCAACAGACATGGGCTTTTGAAATCTTTTAGCATCCACAGTGACACGTCTCCTCCAATAATCCCAAACGTTCTTAAGATTTATTTATTGAGAAGCTGGGCAGTGGTGGTGTAGGCCTTTAATCTCAGCACTCGGGAGGCAGAGGCAGATGGATCTCTATGAGTTTGAGGCTAGCCAGGTCTACAAGGGCTAGCTCCAGGACAGGCTTCAAAGCTACACAGAAACCCTGTCTTGAAAAAACAAACAAACAAAAAGAGATTTATTTATTGGGGCTGGAGAGATGGCTCAGCGGTAATGAGGTCTTGCACCCTCTTCTGGCCTGCAGGCAGACATACAGGCAGAACACTGCATATGTAAAAATAAATCTTTTTTTTTTTTTAATATTTATTTATTTATTTATTTATTTATTTATTATGTATACAATATTCTGTCTGTGTGTATGTCTGCAGGCCAGAAGAGGGCACCAGACCTCATTACAGATGGTTGTGAGCCACCATGTGGTTGCCGGGAATTGAACTCAGGACCTTCGGAAGAGCAGGCAATGCTCTCAACCACTGAGCCATCTCTCCAGCCCGTAAAAATAAATCTTAAAAAAAAAAAAAAAAAAATGATTTAGGCCGGGCGGTGGTGGCGCACGCCTTTAATCCTAGCACTCGGGAGGCAGAGGCAGGTGGATCTCTGTGAGTTCGAGGCCAGCCTGGTCTACAGAGCTAGTTCCAGGACAGGCTCCAAAGCCACAGAGAAACCCTGTTTCGAAAAAACCAAAAAAAAAAAAAAAATGATTTAGGAAGCTGGAGAGATGGCTCAGTGGTTAAGGGCACTCACTGCCTGCTCTTTCAGAGGACCTGGGTTCAATCCCCAGCAACCACATGGCAGCTCACAACTGCTTGTAATTCCTATTCCAGGGGATTTGACACCTTCATATCAATGCACATAAAATAAAGTTAAATAAATTTTAAAAAGCCACCCTTAAAAAAGTTATAATGTGTATGGGTGCTCTCTACTGCATGCATGCCTTTATGCCAGAAGAAGGCATCAGATCCCACCACAGATGGCACCCTGTGCTGTTCACCACTGAGCCATCTCTCCAGCCCAAGGCCACACCTTCTAATCCTTTCCCAAACAGTCCCACCGATTAGACCAAGCAGTTAAACACATGAACCTATGAAGGCCTTTCCCATTCAAACCACCACTGTGTAAGTGCCCCACGTGCAGGTTCCCTTGGAGGCCAGAAGAGGATGTTGAATCTTGCAGAACTAGAATTACAGACAGCTATGAGCTTCCCGATGCAGATTCAAGGGATCAACCAAATCCTCTGCTCTTGAGCAAGTGTTCTTAACCATTGCGTCCCCTCTCCAGCCCCTACAACTTTTATTTACTGTGTGTGCACGCATATGGAGGTCAGGGACACCTTCTCTCACCTTTGGTGAGGATTTGGTTCTCTCACCTTTACATGGCCAGGCTTGTGCGGCAAGTGGACCCGCATCCCTTGTTCCAGCCGGAGCCCAGCACTCTCGAGCCTCAGGCCAGAGCATCTTGAGTTTGAGGCTGGACTGGGATGCAGGGTGAAGCCCCTTAAAAGACAAAAACAAAAAACAGAAAAAAAACAACTGTAGTAAATTTAGTCTTTGTGACTAAATCCTGTGTATTTCTAAGGTTCTTCTCTCAAAACACATCTCTGAAAATGACATCACAGAGCCAAAGTACCAGTGTGGTTTACCTTAAGGTATTTCTCAGGGGGCAGGACAGGGTCCTGCCTGCTATTCCTTACACTGAGCTTTGTGCTCCTGGGTACTGAACGTGTGTCTCCTCCTTTCATGATTTTTCAGAAAAGATTAAAATAATATTACTCTCCTGGTGTGGGAAGTCCGTCTATATATGTGTTGCTTTTATTGGTTAATGAATAAAGAAGCTGCCTTGGCCTGTAATAGGGCAGAGTAGAGCTAGGCAGGGAAAACGAAATTGAATATTGGGAGAAAGAAGGCGGAGTTGGGAGACACCATGTAGCTCTGCCTGAGACAGATGTGGAACCTTGCCAGTAAGCCATAGCCACGTGATGACACACAGATTAATAGAAATGGGTTAACCAAAGATATAAGAGCTAGCTAGTAATATGCCTTAAGTGATTGGTCTAGCTGTGGCTTAAATAATATAATTTCTGAGTGCTTATTCTGGGTGGCTGGGACCGAACAAGTGGCCTCTAACAACACCCTTTTAGAACAATACAGAAAAATCTAAAGGGAGCACCATGCCTCATTCAAAAGTATCTGATCACACACAGTAGGAATGTGCTCACCACAGACTTCATTGTCCTGGCCATGGGGACTGTCCTAAAGAAAGTCCAGTCCTTTCAGAATGTCTCAAGAAGCCAACTATAGTTCGACTGTGCCCTCCCAAACTTTTTTGTTGTTGTTATTGTTGTTTGTTTTGTTTTTCGAGACAGGGTTTCTCTGTGGCTTTGGAGCCAGCTCTTGTAGACCAGGCTGGCCTCAAACTCACAGAGATCCGCCTGCCTCTGCCTCCCACGTGCTGGGATTAAAGGCGTGCGCCACTACCGCCCATGTTGGTACAGACTTTATAGGTGAAAATCCAGACTCTTAAGGTAATTGCATAGAAGGGAGGGCCGCTGGGAGGTGATCAGTTGCTTGTCTAAGAATATTAATCTACAAAATACCTTGATCCAGAGCGTCCAGCTTCCAAATGTATGCTAAATACATGTTTGTAGGCCATTAGGTCAACGATGGTTTGTTACAGCCACCAAATAGGACTAAAAAGGGAAATTCCCAGACCAATACAATAGGTTTTCTTGGTTTACTTTGGCTCTGTAATTCTGGGCTGGCAAGTGCTGTCCAAAAGAGCTACACCCCAAAGCCAACAGTTTTGGGGTTTCTTTTCGAAGATTTTTTTTTTGTTTGTTTGTTTTTTTTTTTTTTTTGTTTTTTTTTGTTTTTCGAGACAGGGTTTCTCTGCGGCTTTGGAGCCTGTCCTGGAACTAGCTCTGTAGACCAGGCTGGTCTCGAATTCACAGAGATCCGCCTGCCTCTGCCTCCCGAGTGCTGGGATTAAAGGCGTGGGCCACCAATGCCCAGCCTTTTTGAAGATTTTTAAAATTACTTTTTTGTTTGTTTTCTGAGAGACAGGGTTTCTCTGTGTGACTTTGGAGCCTATCTTGGAACTTACTCTGTAGGCCAGGCTGGCCTTGGACTCCCAGAGATCCGCCTGCCTCTGCCTCATGAGTGTGGGGATTAAAGTCATAGATGACCACCACCCTCCATCAATATTTTTTAAGCACTTGAATCTTACAAATTGTGATATAAACTAAAAGAATTTACAATCAGGGAAAATGCTGACTGGGCTTTTAGATTTTTTGTTCTTTTTTTTTTTTTCAAATGTCAGTTACTGTAGCTAGACCCTATGAAAAAGCTTGGTGGCAGGAATAGGCTGGAGAGATGACAGCTTAGCATCTGAGAGCACTGGGTCCTCTTTCAGAGAGGTTCTGGTTCAATTCCCAGTACTCACATGGTCACTCACAGCTAGTCTAACTCCAACTGCAGAGCATCCAGCGCCCTCTTCCGACCTCTGCAGGTACTGCATACACGTGGTGTGCAGAGACATACAGGCAGGGAAACCTTTTACATACATGAAATAAATCTAAAAATAAAAAATTGGGCGGTGGTGGCACACGCCTTTAATCCCAGCACTCGGAGGCAGAGGCAGGCAGATCTCTGAGTTCGAGGCCAGCCTGGTCTACAGAGCGAGTTCCTGGACTGACTCCAAAGCTACAGAGAAACCCTGTCTAGAAAAACCAAAAAAGTAAAAAATAAAATAAGAAAGCCACTTTGGAAGATTTGCACTTGGAGTGCTTCAGACTAGGGCGTTGTGGGTGGGTCAGAGTTCAAACCTGGCCCATTCAGGTGCAGGACCACGAGGCTCCTGCAAAGCAAGCACGAGACACGCCTGGGCACACCTGTGCTGTGTGTGGAAGGCAAGCCAAATCTATCAGAGAATAAGAGCGGGAAAACCAGGTGGTGATGGAGTTTGGTTTTGAAATACTTTGCCATAGAACAGCTAGGATAGGGTATAGCAGATCCAGCTTCCTTGGAGACAAAAATACTTCATGAAATAATTAAGCTTAAAAGAAAAAATATTTAAAAAGAACAAAGAAATAATTAAGCTTGAAAGAACTTTTGGCTTGCTTCAAAGTTGCTGACGTGTGGCCAGAGGCAATAAATGCTTGGATGAACTAACGAAGCCCATAATTGCTGAAGATAGATGATGGGGCCACCGCATTCCTAATGTCATCTTTGAAGCCTGATGCCTGCAGCCAGCAGCTGTTGCCCACATGCCTCAGGGCAGGTATGCCCGGCAGAGGACACCCGTGGTGGCTTTTGTTGGATCCCAGTGCGAGGCCACCCTTGGGGAAGCCACTATGGCGTGCTCGGCCGCAGTAGCAGGAACTGAACCTTCAGGGGGAACTGGAGCTGCAGCCACCAACGCACGACAGGAAGGCCCTCGGCTAGGTCGGGTCCTTCCTTCCTGCAGACTGCGGAGCGCACGCGCCCGGTCCCCGGAGCGAGGCGCCCTCCACGGTGCAGCCGGGGACAATGGGACAGGGCGCGGGCGCAGCTACGGCGGAGCCCTGGGGGCCAGGGTGGCCGCGCGCCGCCGCTCTGGAGGACACGGCCCTCGTCTCGCAGGCACAGGCACCGGACACTCGGTGCCAGGCGCGACGCGGCCGGCCCACGCGGGACGCGCCCACGAGGCCAGCCGCAAAATGGCGACCGCGCCGACTGGCGCCCCCTGCCGGCGCATGCGCAGAGCGGCCCCGCCCGCGAGAGCGGAAGTCTTGTGACCCCGGAAGTGACCGTCGGAGCGGCGGGCGGCGGACGACGTTCGTCACTTGGTGCGGGAGGGAGCGCGAGAGCGGCGGTCGAGCCTCCGGTGAGTGGGCGCCTTGCGCGGGCGCGGGGCGGCGCGGCGCGCGAGGGGAGCGGGGCGGCTTTGTGCGGCGCCCCCGGCGGTTGCGGCGCTCGCGAGCGGGCGGGGCGCGGTCACGACAGCGGGCGGGGCAGGCTCGGGGCGCCTCGGAGGTCCCGTCCGAAGGGTCGCGGCTGCCCAGGCCAGGGCGCCAGGCGCCCGTGGGACCCAATCCCCGGCCACGCGGGCGGGGTCCGGCGTGGAAGCCTCGCCCGGAGCTCCCGCCGCGCGGCCCCGCCCCGCCCGGATTGCGGGCCCTGCGGAAGTGCGGGCCGCGCCCTGGATGCTGTCGCCTGCGGCCACGCTTGGCCGCGTCGGGCGGGGTCGCCCGGAGCCTCACGGTGTCGGACCCCCCACTTTCTGTGTTTGTTTGGCGGACACCTCGCGGAGGGACGACGGCGTGGGGGCCTTGTGGCCGGGCTGTCCGCTCATCACTGCGCATCGCCTGCAGGGATCCGAGTGGGTTTCTGGGAGGAGACATTGGGGTAATCTGCGGAACTGAAAGACACCCGAGGCGCTTTCGTCCGGGATGGTTCTGCACCGCCACTGACGCTTTAGGGTCAGGGCCCAGAAACAGGTTCCTGAGATTTATTTACAAGCGGTGCACCAGCTCCCGAGTTGCATTCGCAGACCCTCACACTACCGTGCAATTTAGGATCTCCTTTGGGCTCTTAGGATTTAGAGCGGTCGCCACATAGTTGAGCTTAGGACGGCAATCCATTGGCAGGAACGCTCAGACGCTTGTCCTGCACGTGGTTTAGACACAGAGCATCCTCCTTTAGGAGAACTTACCTCCAGGACCCAGTAAGAGTGTCTTGGAATTAGAGCCTGGTCTGCTAGGGGCAGCAGGAGGCCCCAAGGGAGGTAGTGATCCATCCCATCCGCCAGTTCAGTTCGGTCTGGAGGCTACTCATTCTTTAAGGGGAGGAAAGGTGTTTTGCTTCTGTTGCTTTTTGTTGCTTCGTGATGTACTTAGGGTGTCGCCCTCTCAGATGAGCCTCTGAGTTAGTTGAGCAGTGGCAGCAGCCTCCTGTGTCCTCACGAAGTTCCCCACGCGTGATTACCTCCATCATTCCCTGCCGGTGTCATGGTCTCCCTAGGTTGGAAGGCCTCCAGGCGGCCATAGTCCCGCTCACTCCCTACCCACAGGTGTCCCAGGCTAGCGGTGAGCATGGCAGAACAGGAGCCCACTGCTGAGCAGCTTGCCCAGATAGCGGCCGAGAATGAGGAAGATGAGCACTCTGTCAACTACAAGCCCCCAGCCCAGAAGAGCATCCAGGAGATCCAGGAACTGGACAAGGATGATGAGAGCCTTCGGAAGTACAAGGAGGCCCTGCTGGGCCGAGTGGCTGTCTCTGCAGGTAGGTGGGTTGGAATAAGGATGTCACCTGACCCTGTCACCACCCCCTTTCCAGTTGGCCTCCTTCCTTTCAGAGAGTTGAAAAAAATCTAAGGAATGGGGCCCTGACTCTTGACTCTTACTCTCCAGACCCCAATGTCCCCAACGTCATTGTGACCCGCCTGACCTTGGTGTGCAGCTCTTCCCCGGGCCCTCTGGAACTGGACCTGACAGGTGAGTGGGTCCTGGAGTCCCTGGGTGGGGCAGCTGGCATCCAGTCACTGCCCCTAAAAATAATTTTCTGCACTGGTGCCCTCTGGTGGGACAGAGGAGAAGTGCAACTAGGTGCTCTCCAAGGCTCTGCTTTGTGTCAAGGAAGGGGCTGTGGGAAGTGAGTGTGGGGGCAGGGTGGGAAGCCTCCAAAGCCCTCGGCTGAACCTCCTCCCCAATACAGGTGATCTGGAGAGCTTCAAGAAACAGTCATTTGTGTTGAAGGAAGGTGTGGAGTACCGGATAAAAATCTCTTTCCGGGTAAGGGAAAGGCTTCGTGAGGCCCGGCATAGAGGGGCAGAGGAGCAGGACTGGGGAGCCAGCTGACCCTTGCTCTGTGTTCCCACAGGTGAACAGAGAGATCGTGTCAGGCATGAAGTACATCCAGCACACATACAGGAAAGGGGTCAAAAGTAAGTGGGTGCACTGTGGAGTGGGAGCCTGTGGGTTTGGGGAGAGGCTCACAGCACCGTGACCTTGTCCTTCCTGCTCCGCAGTTGACAAGACTGACTACATGGTTGGGAGCTACGGACCCCGGGCTGAGGAGTACGAGTTCCTCACACCCATGGAGGAGGCCCCCAAAGGCATGCTGGCGCGGGGCAGTTACAACATCAAGTCCCGCTTCACAGACGACGACAAGACTGACCACCTGTCCTGGGAGTGGAACCTCACCATCAAAAAGGAATGGAAGGACTGAGTTCCAGCTGGGAGGCGGGCAGGGCGAAGGACAGACAGAAGGACCGACATGCCCCACCCCAAACCCCTCCCCCCCCCCAAACCAAAGTGCTGACAGGACCCTCCCTCACCATTCCTCCCTGGTCCTCTCAGACAGGCAGCTCTTCTGTCTGCCCCTCCTCCACCTCCTGCCTGCAGGCCCCTGTGGTCTCCAGTGTCACATTGCTGCTTCTGCCTGTGCGGTGGGGGAGGGGTTCCAGCCCAGGCCTCCAATCTGCTGTGTCCCTCCAGGTTCCCTCTGTCTTCCCTTCCTCAGGCCCTGGCTTCTAGAATGGAATGGAACACTGGGTTGCCCAGCCCACTTGTCTCTGCCCCATCTGAGCTAGGTTGCTCGGTGTGGGCAGGGTTGGGCTGTCTGTCCTTTAGCCCCACCACTCCCTGGCCAGGTCATCCATCACTGTCAGTCACTGTCTAACCATGATGCCTTAACATGTGGAACGTGTACTGGGGGCCGTCGCTAACTCTTAACTCCCCTGTCTGCATGAGCATGTGGTCTCCCCTGTCCTTGCCTTGTCTGCCATCCCCATCCTGGTGACCCACCCACGGAGGCCTGGGGTGCTGCTGTTGCTTCCTGCAGGCCTGGCCAGCTCTTCCCACTCCCCGTGGCCAGGGTTGGGGTGGCTCCAGTAGCTAGGGGAGGGTCAATTGCCAAAACTCAATGCCTCCAGCCCCATCTAGGAGGCAGGATAGGGTGCCTCATTCCTCTGCCTTCTCTGTCCTTAGAGGCAGCACTCGAAGCCCCTGTTCCAACAGAGAGCCCCTGAGGGACAAAGCCAGCCGAGCCTTACTTGTCTCACCTGGGCCCTAGGGCCTGAACCTCGTGCCTGGCCTGTCAGTATTTATTGCCTCCATCTGGGCCAGCTAGCCTGATGCCTCTGCCCTGGCTCTTGGTGCCACCATCCCTGGGCAGGCCCTCCCTGGACCCAGCCAGGACAAATGTGGGACCAAGTGCACACAGTTGGGAGCTGTCTCCTGTGCCTCCCCTCCCCCTCCCTGGTCCCCCGTGTGGAATCTGCCAGGCCTAGGCCTCGGCCTCAACAGGCAGAGGAGCCTGTCCCTGCTTCTCTTCTGACTGGGAAATAAACACCCCTGAAGGAGTCTGGGGTGGTGTGGTCTATGCTCCTTGTGGCGCTTGGAGGGAATGGCAAGGCTCCCATGGTGGGTGGAGTTCTCTGGCTAGGGGTGGCCTGCTGCTCACAGCCCTGTTGTGTCTTTGCTATTGGCTTCCTGTAGAGAAGTGAATATAAAAGAAACCCCGGAACCATGGTGACATGACTCATTAATCTAGACCCTCCTGGGAGTTGGCCCTGGACACAGAGGGATCACTTGGGTCAGCACGCCCTAGCAGGAACTTGTCCTCAGGATGTAGTCTCGCTGGCCATGCCTGGATGTCTTCCCTTGGGTTCTCTCACACAGATGTCAACAGAATAGGGGCTCCACTAGATCTAGAACCTTAAGAGACTGATCCGGGTCCGCACAACTTGTGTGGCTGGAACAGGAAGTTGGTACCCCAGAAGCCTCGCTCCACATTCCAGTATGGTGCTCTCTAAAGCACCTACAAGGCTAGGGACAGGATCATTGCCCCGTGTGGAAGCGTGTAGAGGAACCCTGAGAAGCAGCTGGGCCTTAACCAGTGCAGCATTAGCTGCTGCATAGCCCTGCAATGACCACAGGGAGGCAGGATTACATTTCTGAGCACAATGAAAGACATAACCTCTGCCCTGCCCTTACAGGGATGTCTGCTCAGTGACCAGAAAACACCAAGCAGGAGTCACCAGAAACTTAATTTTGACCTGGTGCCAGTTTTGGGAGCCACCCTCTGGTTAAGTTGTTCAGTAAGTAAAGCGGTTGTACTATCCATGCAACTAGCAGTGGTCAGCTGCTTCCCTGGAGCCTCCCAGGCTTGCTTTTGGGGTCCACCACTGTTGGCCGGTGGAGTGAAACTGCTGGGCCAGTCAGGAGATGCCTTTTATAAGTCAGGGGCCATGTCAGTCATCCCGACCAGTCCATGGGAACCCACAGAATAGCAGAGCCACTAACCTGATATTAGCAGCCCCTCGCGGTAAGCAGCCAAATTGTTGACCCAAGCCTCTCCCAGAAATGTTCCTGGCACCAGCAGTCAGGCAGGCCTAAGCAGGGTGAGGCTCTTTCCTCAAGCCCTGCAGCTTGACAAAGCCAGGACCGGCCAGTCAACTCTTAAATCTTTAATCTGTCAGCAATTGTTTATTGAGGAGGGGCTTATGAAGTTCACATCGGATCAAGAAACTTAATCTTACAACTCCAGGTTCGTCCTAGCCTGGTAGGTGTGTGAACTCAGACCCTAAGTGCCAAGTGTGCAAGCACACTGCCAACAACTAGGACTTTGCCCTGGCTCCTCCCTGAGCAGGTTAACTTACGATGTCCTAATAAAGTGAATGACGTGTTCCTTAGGTCCCAAGTCTAACCAGATCTCACCCCAGGAGCCAGAGGCAGCCCCATCCACTTACCTCTATCCATGGCTCCAGGAATTCCAAGGTTTCTAGCTTCTCAGGCACCTCCAGATGGGCCTCCCTCCCCAAGAAAGGTCATGGTTGTAGGTAGTACCAGTCACTGAGCAGTCGGCTTCTATGGTGTATGTAAGTAATCAGCTATTTTGATTTACAAGAACCTTCTCCATGCCCAGCACCATCCTGTATCAAGGCTACTCTACCCATGGGCTATGTATACCATGTCCTGCTTCCCGCTTCCCACTGGGCTGTCACCAGCTCTCAGCTCATGCTCCAGTACAGATGTTGTGACCAGTGGCACCGACCTGCTGTTCACCCCACTGGACATCTGACAAGCCTGCAACCTGAAAAATAGCAGTAATACTCAAAACCGACCAATAACTCAACCTTTAGCTCTGAGTGAGACTCTTTCCTGAAGGATATCCTGATACAATTCCAAAAGTGGCCAGAGAAATGGGCTCCAGCCAGTGTGGGTCTTGCATGACCTGGACTCTAGGTCCAAACTACCTCTTCTGCAGTGGGAGCTGCTCTTAGAAGTTATCAGCTTGGCCCTCAAGGCTATAGCCCATAGATGTTCAGATGATCCAACCTGCATTCTTGGGTTGGAACATAATACCTCTATGTTATTTGGCTACTCAACAAACCCAGAGGGTCCAAGAATTTCAGGCCTCCCTCTGGCTTCTCAAGAACACACTGCTGTGCCTGTTTAGGTCTGTGTAGAAGACCAATGCAGAAAGTAGACATTCATCAGTCTTAGATACTGTGAGCACACGGGGAGAGGGGTGCTTCAGGGCTGCCCCCTCTTTCACAAAATGTCAGTAGCCCTACCTACCCTGTTATCCAGACAGGGCAGTTGCCTACACTGAGAGCCTTGTCCATCCTGTGCCTGCCCTAACAGCCCAGAGATAAACTGAGATCCGATCCTATCTACTTCAGCCTGTCTTGTATGCACCTGGAATGCTCCCGGGATGGTCCACTTCTTTTTTGTATTCTACTGTGTCCTGGAGGCAAGTTATCTTTAAACCATCATACTCAAAGCCCTACTCTGTTTACCTCCGTAGACAAAACACCCGACCCCTACTTGTCCTTCAGCTCCTGGTACTCACCAGGGGTAGCTGAATGTACCTGGAAGTCCAGTGATTTAGGAGGCAGAGGCACCTAAATTGCTAAAAGTTCAGGGCCACAGTTTCAAGACAATGAATGACTGATGAATGTCTACTTTCTGCATTGGTCTTCTACACAGACCCAAACAGGCACAACAGAGTGTTCTTGAGAAGCCAGAGGGAGGCCTGAAATTCTTGGACCCTCTGGGTTTGTTGAGTAGCCAAATAACATAGAGGTATTATGTCCCTATTGGGCTACAGAGAGAGAGACAGAGGAAAAAAGGGAGGGAGGGAGGAAGAAACTTAAAAATAAAACAGAATTTACCCATCTGCCTCTCCAATGCTGGGATTACAAGGGAACACTACCATACCAGCTGACTTTCTCTTCTCTATCTTGGCTCCAAATTACGGTTTGTAAAACAGGCCAAGGCAACCACAAAACTACTGGAGATGGCGCAGCAGACCTGAAACAATTTCTATCACACCCAAGAGCAGGAGTGTTAACAGGTACTCCAGTTAGACCGAGAAAGGGAGAAACACCTAGCCCAGCTGCTGCGGGACTGGGTACATCTGCTCATAAGCCCTCCTGGGCCTGTAGTCACCCTTTGGACACACGAAGGTTTCCCAGTGGGCACAACCAGTATCTGACTCTCACCCTCCCTACCCTGGATGTGGTTGGGGCACAAGGGGCTTGGTCTTCAAGAGAGAAAGAAACTCTAAGCAGAGTTCCATGTAGGAAAGGTAACACATTCCTTCATTTAGTGTCTCAAAAGAAACTATCAAAATACAGACGCGTACTTAGGTTTCAACGTTTCTGAGAGCAGTATATTATGAGTCAATGTGGAGAGACTTAACATGGGAGTGCTTCCTTGTCTAGTGACCCTTAGCTATCAGGACTGTTTCTGTAGTAGGAAGTGCAGAAAGGGGAGGCTGCCAGAAGGGAGCAAACAGAGCATGGGGATGGGGGTGTGCAAGTCGGGTGACAGGCATCGTGGATCACTAAAGAGTGGGCTGGACATTGACAGCGATTGCTCACAGCTGTCACCAAGCACTCAGCTGGCTGGGGCAGCGCTTGAACTATCGCTTCAAGCTCGAGGCCATTGAGTTCCAAGCAAATCAGGTCTAGAGTGGCTCAAACCCAAAAGAAGACAGTGATGAATCTGGGATAAGTCGAGGTAAAACTTGAGTCTCGTCTGTAACCCTAAAGGTTGGTTTACAGAAGTCAAACTTTCCATTATTAACCCAACACACACAAATGCCACTTCAACATGTGGTCCATCTCAAGTCTGACGAGGAACTGCTTTCTCCACTTCCCAATCGGGCTTCCACGAAGTCTGGGCCGCCCGGGACGGTGGTGGCGCACGCCTTTGATCCCAGCACTCAGGAGACAGGGGGATCTCTGTGAGTTCGAGGGTAGCCTGGTCTACAGAGCGAGTTCCAGGTCAGCCAGGGCTACACAGAAAAACCCTGTCTCGAAAAAAAACAAAAACAAAATAAAGAGCCCGGCAACGTGCCCGTAGCCTGTGGGGACACCGAGATGGAACCACAAGGCCCACGAGCGGACCCCGGAGCCTAGACGTGGGCAGGGGCTGCACGGGCCGCACGCGCACAGGAAGTTGCATCACCCGGCTTCCGGGCGGGGCCGCGGGGGCGGGGCCAGTACGGAAACGCGGTCCAGTCAGAATGCAACACGAGGGGCTTCGGAGGCGCAGGCGTAGCTCCGCCCAGGAGCTCGGGGCTCCGCCCCACTGCCACGTTCGACGGAGAAACGCGCAGGGTGCGCGCATCTCTCGGCCAATCAGGAGCCACAGGGCCGGGCCGTGGAAAGGCTGCGGCCGCCCCAGACGTCTGGAAGGCGTGGGAAAAAGTCGCCAGTCAGAAGTCCAGAAAGAGAAAGTTCGCCTCTGCCAGCCAATCAGAGGCGGGGGAGCGCAGTGCGTGTGCGCGCCCGCGCGCGCACTCGGGCCAATCCCGGGCGAGAACGGGCAGGCCTCCGGGTCTCCTCGGACCGTGCGGCGGAGAGGGCGGGCCCCTCGGCGTCTCGGCCAATCAGACGGCGCGGCGGGGCGCAGGCGCGCGGCGGCCGACGCGCGCGGCGAGGGGGAGGTGTGGGCGCGTCCCCGGCCCAGGATTTATAAAGGCGAGGTCTGGACCTACGCGCGCTCTCGTCGCTTTGGCTGTCCCGGCGGCGCCAACCTAACCGCCCCGCCCGCTGCCGACGTCCGACATGCTGAGCCGTTCTCTGCTGTGCCTGGCCCTGGCCTGGGTGGCCAGGGTGGGCGCCGACGCCCCGGAGGAGGAGGACAACGTCCTGGTGCTGAAGAAGAGCAACTTCGCAGAGGCGCTGGCGGCGCACAACTACCTGCTGGTGGAGTTCTGTGAGTGAGCCGCGGGCCCGGGCGGGCAGGGCCCCTGGTCCACGGACCGCAGCTCAGGGCCGCGCTTGACGGCACCCGGTGCGGTGGTCCGTAGTTCCCGGCTTGTCCCGGGGAGCACAGGCTGGCGGGTCCCGGACTGGACCTCGCTGGGAGCACCTACTGTCAGCTTCTCTGCTTCCAAGTCTTCCAGAGAGCATCCTTCCCACCCAAAGTGGAAATCGTTGTGTTCAGGGCTCTTGGAAGGTGGCTGAGTGGCTTAGGATCAGGAAGATGTCTGTGCCCGACGTCTGCATGGCCCGATCCGTCTGTTAGCTGGGAAGAACAGGATGGGCTGTGTGAGCAGTAGCAATGCCGATTGAACAGGTCCAGCCCTGTTTACTATGCCCACCCTCCGTGTAGCTCGCCCTCGCCTCCTCACTGGGAAGTAGGCCAGGTCTTAAGCCTTACTTCTCTTTACAAGTGTGTGAACTCCAGCACAGCTGCCAGGTTGCTTTGACAGATTGTCACGTTCCCACACTAGAAAGAGCAGATTCTGATAGGCATCTGGGCTCGTTCTTGCTAGGGATAGTGCTGGGCCAGCAACCTTTTAACCTTCCCTGCATTCTTAATGGGAAATCCGAGGGATACATTGACCCTGATTGCTGGAGACAATGGGAAGTTACAAGTCAGGATTATTTTGCCATGTTGGTGGTCACAGGGCAAAGTAGGGGTTGGAGTTGTCACTCATGGCCTCTGTCCTGATATTGCCCAAGAGCACCAGCTATCAGCTTAGTCTCCTGTCTGCGTTAAGAGGGGTTATCTTGGTGTGCTGATAAGGTTTTTATGAAAGGGAGGTACAAAGTAGAAAGGGGAGCAATAGACCTGGGTCAAGGACTGCCTTCCAGTGTCCTGCTTTCCTTCTCAGATGCCCCATGGTGTGGCCACTGCAAAGCCCTGGCCCCTGAGTATGCCAAAGCTGCCGCGAAACTGAAGGCGGAAGGTTCTGAGATTCGACTAGCGAAGGTGGATGCCACGGAAGAGTCTGACCTGGCTCAGCAGTATGGCGTCCGTGGCTATCCTACAATCAAGTTCTTCAAGAATGGAGACACAGCCTCCCCTAAGGAATACACAGGTGTGACCCTAGCGCTGCCCTCCAATGATTGCGTAGGCTTGGGGAGCTAAGCCAGAAGT